GTTGAATAATTTACTTCGTGTTTATTCAAGATTCTGGAGGCATAAGCAACGGGTAGATCTTGTCCAATAACGCCTTGACTAAGAACAGCACCGACGGCATAGCCAGATGCGTCAGTTGTGAGGATAAATGGCTTATTGAAGTCAGGAAATTGAAGGATCGGCTCTTCACAGAGTAAATCACGGAGCTTGTCGAATGCTTGCTGACTCTCATTAGTCATTTGAACGAAGTGAGTTTACTTGTGAGGTCGGAAAGAGGTTTTGTGATCTTTGAGAAGTCTTTAATGAATCTACAATAGTATCCGGCAAGGCCAAGAAATTCTTTGATGTTTTTCTGCGTTTTGGGCACAGGAAAATTTTTTACAGAATCGATTTTAGTAGGATCAGATTCAACAACTTCCGAAGAAATTATGTGACCGAGATATTTTACTTCCGTTTTGAAAAATTCGCATTTATCGGGTTGTAATGAAAGATTAGCTTTACGGAGACGTTCCGCTAATCTCCTGAATTTAATCATGTGTTCCTCAATTGAGCGGGAATAAATGACAATGTCATCTAAATAATCGAAAAGTTCGGATCCCTGTAGGCCGGTTAAAACTTGATCCATAAGGCGCTGAAAAGTGGCGGGAGCATTTTTTAGGCCAAAAGGCATGCGGTCGAACTCCCAATGACCATGGGGAATCGTAAACGCAGTCTTGTGTCGGTCTTTTTTACTCATTTTAATTTGATGAAAACCGGAAGCAAGATCAAAGACTGAAAAATATTTATTTAGCACTTCCGAGTTGGTCGAGCATATCAGTAATGAATGGAAGTGGATAAGCATCTGCAATTGTTTTTTCATTTTGTGCTCGATAATCGATGACCAAACGCCACCTTTTATTACCCTTTGAATCAGACTTCTTTGGGACTATCCAGAGAGGAGAATTATAAGGCGAAGTGGAAGGGCGAATGATCCCTAAATTGGAAAGAACTTTAATTTGTCTTTCGAATTCCTCTTTTTGACAAGGGGGAAGTTAATATTGTCGGACGTTTATGGGGAGGTCATCGGTGGTGGGAATGGGGTGCGTACACGCGTTGGTGGCTCGTAAACTTTTACCAGCTATGTGAAAAAGGTCCGCATATTCTTTTACTAGGGTTTTTACAGCGTCATACAGCGTTTACAGCGTCTCTTCTTGATTCAAATGATTTAACCGTAATAGTTCCTCCACCTTATTAGCGCGTTCAACGGGATCTCGCGTCCGAGACTCGTTTACCTGTTGCTCTACGGGTGATGAGTCGGTTTCGTAACCCTCGTCTTCACTTGAGTCAAAAGGAAACAAGGTAATTACGGGGACGTCTAATTTGATATCATGCTCAGTAGTATTTATCGCATATAAATAGGCTATACCGTTCGTGTTAGTAACTACGGACTCTCCTAAATATAACCCTTTAATTTTTGAATTAATGCGCGGTACGTAACCTTGGGGACATTCAGGATTCACGAATCTTACGTACATTAAAGTTCTTTGTTTAGCAGGAAGCACGACTGACTCTCTATCCGCAAACCGTATCTTGGTTTTCCCTACTAATAAAACGTTACGTTTCAAATCAGCCACCCCTTTGTTTTCACGAAGAAATTTTGAACCAATGACACCTACATAGTCCAACGGAAAATCATCGGGGATGACATTAAACCTCACAGTTATCCCATTCAATTTTATGAAAACTTCGCCTAATGTTAAAGGCTTATCAGATTTAGAAACTCCGTTTAATTCATAAATTTTGTTCTCATTAATTGAGATCGAATCTTTTAATTCACCGATTTTAATTGAGATTAATTGTGATCCCGTATCGAGTAAAAATTTTGCTTGATCATTAATCAAATAATCGGAGTTTAAAATAACTGAAGGGGATGAAAATTTTGGATCGAAAATACTGAGTTTGCAATTTATTGTATTGAGGTTTATCATGCCCGATATATTTTTTATTGTTGAGGAGGATTTGTGGGCTGGCGCGCATGGTTTGGGTTTAAGTTCCCCGCTGCGGCGCCAACTCGTTGGGAAACTTGACCGTTTCCCGTACGCTGAGGGCTTTGACCTGCGCTATTAGAATTGCCTGTGTTAGACGCGGCCCGTTTACCCATATTATAAGCTCTTTTACGACAATCATTGATAATATGGCCTGGATTTTTGCAATAATTACAGATTGGAGTACCACTATTTCTATTGTACGAATTGATATTGCGATTAAATGATCCATTTGAACTCGATGAATTTTGGTTTGAATTAAACGTGTTTCGATTTGAATTGAATGAACTTTGATTTAATCTTGAATTTGAATTACTCTGTTTGTTTTTTCTATATTCATTATTATTGTGATTTGACATTTTACAATTTGAACAATATTTTTCGGTTTGAACATTTGTTTGATTTGAGCTTGAATTAGTTTGAACAACGAGACAACTTTTCGGATGATTGACATTTGAACTTCGCTTTTTATCGGTGTTTTATTCGCGTTGAAACAGTAATTCGTATTCAACAGCTTTTTCAGCAGCCAATTGCATCTCGGTAAATGTGTAGTGTCTCATGGCAGCAGGGAGATCAGCGTTAAGGCCCATAATAAAATATTTAACTGCTTTGGCTTCTGCCTGAGATTGATGATCAGCTCTTTTTTCTGCTGGTAGATTTTCGGCTGAGTCAATTATGTTACTTAAATGTTCTGCAAGTCGAAAACTGAAATCTGTTACCGATTCATTTGACTTTTGAAAAAACGATGAAAATTCATCTAACCATTCGTCTGGTAGTTTTTTCAGGAAATAATGTCTTTTAACAAAAGATTTGAGTTCATCAATCGTATTAATTTTAGCAATAATAGCGCGATTGAGAGCGGGATTTTTTAATCGATTTTTTAATAATCTGATATTTCTCTCTGTGTATTGAGGTATTAATTCTTTCGCGTCTTCGCATGATGTAATAAATTCGTTAGCTGGATAATTTGAACCGTTGAATTCAGGAATTGAATTTACAAAATCTTTCGCAGACTGTGATCTTGCACCTGCAATTATTCTTAAATCGTTTGGGTCGATACGGATAGTTACTTGTTGTGATGCACCTTCGGTCATTTTGTCAAATTATTATTTTTCTTGTCACTCGCGTGAAAAAAACAAAATTACCGATTCGCGAAGATAATTAATTAATTGACTTACAATATAACAGGTACAAATAAATACAGCATGATCTGCAATTGAGTTCGCTGGTAAATTCACTACCAGTCGTATCAAGGGCTGGGCGGGTGGGTCGTCCTAGGGCTACACCTCCTTTGCCGACGGGTGATTGAACGGGGCTCCACGTAGATCCGGTGATGAAGTTCGAACAGAATTTAGCAACTGGGTCCAAGTGGGCTGGATGAATTGTCCGTCGTTGTTGAAGATGCAGTGGACTCCACTCCAATTGAAGATGATAAATTGTGATTTTATTTCTTCAGAGTTTGTGTGTCTGGCCGGCACCGTTGGAGAAGTACCAAATTATTCACGCCGTGTTTCACGTGTTTGGTTTATCGCAACTAGCGAAGCACTGTTGTCACCAATTTGTTTATTAAAAGTTTGTGTGTCTGATTACTCACGATTAGTGAAGCACCGCTGCCACCAATTTATTTATATAGGGATAGCTGTTACGTCCCAAGTGTTTTACACTCAATTGTCTGTTGAATAAATTTGAGGAATAGTTAAATTGACCCTTTGGTCGGTAACTCCAGGTGTTGAGGGAAACTATCTCCTTAGGTAGGTTCCACTAATCAACTACTACGCGCAGTTGACCAATCAAGACACGATTTAGAGTGTTTCGTTTAATGAGATTTATTTAGTAACAATAACACTTAGTTTTATTACACTGTTTCACTATTGTAGGTTCAGGGTTTTTCAAGTGACCCTTGTGGGTTGACGGTTAATTCAGATGTTCTTGTTTTGTTTTGGTTTTATTTTATGATTCGACTTCTATTTAATTTAATTGGTATTTGTGATTAAGTCCCGAACACTTTAAATTTAGACTTGGGTATTTGGAGTTAAAGTATTCACTGAGACTTTACTTGGAATTGAAGTTTCACTTCAAGATTTTTAGAGAAGTTATATTCCTTTCTCTTTGACTGTGGATATAAAAGTGAGTTTACTAAGATGAGATTTGAATATCTTAGGGCTGCTTAGGGCTCACGCGTGGGCGTACACGCTCTAATTTCTAAGGGTAGGATTGGTTCATTAGGGATGGTGGTGAGGACAGAGGCGAACCGGTTGGTTTTAGGTCAATCGGGGAGCCTCGAAAGTCGTGATTGGATTGGGAGCAATAAAGGGTGCAGCTGCATTTTACTCTTGAGAAAAATTCTGTTCTCACGGAACGTTAGAATTTGGAAAATGTCATTTGACACTTATGATTTTCGAGTTTCTTGGTTGCGCCGTGTTCGGTTTACAATTTCAGGATGCTAGTGCTTATCTTAAACATTTAGTTAGTTCTTTTTCATGTTTTTGGATAATTTATTATGCACGTGTACATACGACTGGTTTTCGGCTTCGTTTCAAATGTGGGAAAGCTAGTTCTATGGTTTTCTCAGGAAAAAGTGGTTTGGACACTTGAGTGTTATCTCTGTATGAAACTAAATAATATTCTAATTTACTACGTTTGAAAAAATATAATTGGGAATTGGGACTTATATACTAATTGTGGGTAAGACTCCACAGTCGATAAGGTAAATGAGAAATTGAGCTAGCGCCATCAGGTGGCTAATGGTAAGGACGTAACAATAAAAAACAGATTATTTCGCCTTAAAAACAGTTATGAATGTTGATATTACAAATATTTTTCCGTGTGTTACAAGTGACTGATGATATAATTGCATAATGTGACTGTGAAGAATACGCAATAGACAATCTTAACACCTGTCATTTCTACAAATATTCATACAGATTTTTTAAATTATCCTTCCACAAAAGCATATCCAAGCGTAAATAGCGGATGATGGAGGATGACCATGTCATGATTCCTGAGCCGGTAGAAGGAACCAGCGATGAAGAGGACTGGTTGAAGGGGAGAAAAAGAAAATTAAAACTTCAAGATTCTTGCTGCATTCAGTAAATTTCCTTTCTTGCCTTATTATTTGTTTTTTTTTGACATTTTCTGATAATTTTACGAACTCCATTCATTTCCTCTTCATTCAAATGGTATCGTTTGCCATTTTTAGTAAATATTTCCGTAACAAATTTGGTTCTCATATGTTTTGCCATTCCTGCAGCAGTAACTCCCATCAACCCCTGAAACAATTATTCAATAAGGGGTACATGATGTGCAACTTCTTTGAATGAACTTCTTAAGAGACTTCGGGATTAAAAAAAAACTATCGAAATGCGGGGAAAATTTTGCTCCCTAAATTCTCCGCCAAAAAAGGATAAAAAAATAAACTACATACCTCAAAAAATTTGTAATTCTTTAATTACGAGGATGAGAAGGAATGAGTTCGATCCGGATTCTCTAAATGGGTTAAAACTATTTTTTAATATATGAGGTAATTGACAGTTCTGAGGGGATCGCCATTTTGCCTAGGACTGTAGGTGGCGCCGCCTTATGTCTGGGGCGGAGAGTCGAAATCAACATTTATATTAAAAAATAATTTCAACCCATTCAGAAAATTCGGATTACCCCCGTTTTTTCCCCTCCTCTTAATTAAAAAATGACAAATTTTTTGAGCTATGTTTTATATTTTTCCATGCCTTTTTGGCGGAGAACTTAGGGAGCAAAGTTTTCCCCGCATTTCGGTACTTTGTTTTTACCCCCGAGCCCTCTAAATAGCAAATATTTGATGGTAAGTATCAATAAAAAAACATTTTTTCATACAGAATATCTTATCGAGAGATTTTTTACTGCAATCCCTCTGCTAATACTTCCAGTTCTTCTTATTTTGGGTTTTTTCAATGAAAGGAGAGAAAATAGTCGTAAACATTTGGACAATTAATGTTTAGAGTTCTCTGTGGACAATTTTTCACTAGAATATGTTGAAGAGACAAATCAGAGTCTAATGATTCTTTCGATTATAGTTTGTATTGAGCATTTGCGATTTAAAAAAACATATAACAAAAAACCACGTCCATGTAACATAAAACTACAAAACTTGAATTTGAACGATTATATATCTTTCATTACCATAAGCAGTTACCTTAACATGGCCATGACTCAACTTTGACTTGACCTCCACTTGATCTTAAGGAGGGACCCTGGTGAAATTTAAAAGTCATCGATTAATGAAAATAACTATCGAGTGATTTTGGATATATTTTGGAGTAACTAAAAAACTAAGAAAAATTACGTACCCAACCCCTTTTACTCCGTACATCAGGCGAAGACGTAGTTTTTCATGTTTTTGGCTTTCAAATTTTCCTCACAGAACAATTTTCATCCGTTGAAAATTGATTTTTTTTGCAAATTATTTGTTAGATTCCATCGAATAAAACTATTTTTTTTCGATTTTCTCAATTAGATGATTGAAGTTTTTTTTTCAGTTTGCTCATTTTTTGGCTTTTCTCATACCGTGCAGAAATAGTATATTTCGATACAAGTGCGACGGGGTGGTAACGAGTGTGAAGTTCTGCCAATATCACGAGTTAAAACATTCCGTCGCACGTGTATCCGAACTATATTTTTTTGTTAGTGATGTTACGTTCAGCGAGTGCCGAACTGTGCCATTTTTCGTTTACTAGTAAACGAAAAGTCTTTTCGTTTACAAGTTTCGACTTTTCGTTTACTAGTTAATGAAAAGGCACTTTTCGATACGGGCTGAACGTAGCAGCAGTGACAAAAATAATTATTTTGCCTCGGCTTCGCCTCGGGCCACCAACTTCACACTCGTTACCAGCCTGTCGCACTTGTATCGAAATATACTATTCTGAGCACGTGTTATTTACTATTTTAATGTTTGACGGTTCAGAATCATAATTTTTATAGAAAAAATAATTTTAAAAAAGAGTAAAAATGAAAAAAGTAAAAAACTTTGAATCCGGAAAAAATTCTATTTCGCTATCATCTAATTGAGATAATCGAAAAAAATACTAAGTTTTATTCTATAGAGTCTAACGAACATATTGACAAAAAAAGTTAGAATCGGATGAAAATTGTGGTGCGAGGAGCATTGCGACACCAGAAAATATGAACAACGATCTTTTCGCCTAACGTACGGGGTAAAATCCGGTTGAGTACGAATTTTTTGTTAGTTTTTCAGGTATTTCATATACAAAAAATCACTTGATAGTTATTTTCCTCTCAACCAATCAGACTTTCTAATTTCACCAGAACCCCCCCTTAACTTGACCGTCACTTTAATTTTTTGTTGTCTAAATTGAATTTTTCAACAAAAAAAAATGCCTCGGTCTGCAACACTCATGCTCGCCACAAATATTTTATTTTTATTTTTAAAGGAATTTATTGCGAGCAAGCTCGCAACAGGCCATTGCCCGAGGGCATTCAGCCAGTGAATACATTTTTCATATAATTTCTTTTCCAAACTGAATATATAATATTAATTGAGTACGTTGATATATGAGTGTTTTTTTTTTTTTTTTTTTTTTTTTTTTTTTTTTTTTTTTTTTNATACATTGTAAGAGATGCGGTGATGAAGAGGCGAAGGAAATAGAGGACTTTTGCTACTGGTCTTGACCTTGGAGATATGCTAGACCTCCCCAGGAGTTCGAGCCATACTCTTCTCTTCTGACGGCCTGTAGGTCCTCAAACAGGGTGTGTGGGGGATATTTATACCGGGATCTTCTAATGGGGTTGCGCTTGTGGCAGAGGTCAGAAATATGGTCCAGTTTATTAAGGGCAAAATTCGTTGTCATTTTTTTGAGTCTGTCAAGGATAGGTTCAATTTTGGTACGTTCGTAAAGTAGGGTGTTGGAAGGGTTGTAGAGGGGATTGTCTGGATGGCGGATCTTCGTCATTTTACGAAGGGTGGTTCTTTCGGCAACGCCCGTTATCTTTTGGGTTCCAGGTCTAGCAAAGAGGAGTAGAGGGTGGGCATAGTCCAGTATTGAACGACATATTGCCTTGTATATTTTAACGACATGTTGGGTGTTGAGACCTTTGACTTTGTATGTAAGTCGACGGAATTTCATACTCCTTGCTATGCACTTTTTTTTAATGATATTGGCGTGGGACTTGAAGTTGAGGTTGTAGTCCACCTCTACCCCGAGGTATCGGGTATGGGCGCAGGGTAGGATCTGTGTGTTTTGGAGGATTATACTGGAGTTGGATTTTCGCGGGTTAATGTAGAACTGTAGATATTGGTATTTGGAGAGGTTGAGTTTGAGTCGCCATTTTTCAAACCAGACCTGAACCTCGTTAGCGAGCTCTTGGAGGTTCTCGGTCGCTGCGTCCCACGTTTTGCCATGGCCCACTAGCGCCGTGTCATCAGCGAATTGGACAAGGTATTTGTTGGGGTTTGGAACTAAGAAGGGGTTATCGAGGATGTCGTGGCAGAAGATGTTATATAAGAGAGGCGAGAGGGGAGAACCTTGAGGGATACCTTGTTGGGGGGCGAAGTCCTGAGAGTGGCTGTTCTTGACTTTAATGGACAGTCTTCTATTGAAAAGGAACTGTTTGACGATTTTAATCAGGTATATGGGACAGTTTAATTTGTTGAGCTTGAAGAGCAGTCCTTTATGCCAGACACTGTCAAAGGCCTTTTGGACATCTAGGAATAGTGTATTGGTTTTGAGGTTGTCGTGCTTGGCAGTATGTACGTTGGAGGTGAGGATGGCGAGGGGGTGAAGGGTAGACTTTTTTTCTCTGAACCCGAATTGATAAATGGGGATGTCATTTTTTGTTGCTGTGTTGAGGCGTTCTTAAATTAGTTTTTCAAACATTTTACCTATGGATGGGAGGATGGTGATGCGCCTGTAACTGTCATTTTGGTGAACATCCTTACTGACTTTAGGAATGACGATGATGATACCTTTTTTCCATTCGGGGGGGAAATGAGAATTTTGGATGCAGAAATTGAATATTTTACCGATGTGGAGGTGGATTGAACTTGAGAGGTTTTTCAGAGTAGCACGGCGTATGCTATCATGACCTGGGGCCGTGTTTTTGCCATTCGTGAGAGCTCTTTTATATTCGCCAGGGGAGATGGGGGGAATATCGTCAGGGGCGAGGTCGAGGGGAGGGTCTGAGGGGTAATTGAAGTCGAAAAACCAGTCGTTTACATTGTCATGGGTAAGTTCGTCAAATGTGTCTGATTCGGTGTATTTGTATGTGTCTTCAAAGTACGTAGCAAAGGCATTTGCCTTGTCAATGTCTGAGGTGAGGGATTGGTTATTGAGTGTGATTTCGGGATAGTCATTTCAGGTCTGTATCTGGTGAGTTTCTTAATAATGGACCAATATTCCTTACCCCGCTTGCGCTGTATTTCCCTACAAGCCTTCAGCCATTGATGAGATCTGAACTCCTGGGAGAGTTTGTATATATTTTTTTAGAGCATTAATTTCGGCTTTCCTAAACTGGTTGGTTGCCGGCGAGTTGAGATGTTTATCACTTTGATAAGCTCTATATTTCCTTCTTTTGGTTTTGATGAGATGGATGATGAACGGAGACAGTATGTAGTTGAAGAAGTTGTACTTGGACGTCGGTGTATGTTTTAGAATTGTTTCCGAGAGAAAAGCGTTGAAAGCAGTTATGTTTTCGGCGTTGATATCGGGATGGTCCTGGATGAACTCTGCTATTTCATTGTTGACCTTATCCATATCCGTTTTGGCGAAGTTGTAAATTGGAGGGTGAAGCTCGATGGGTTGAATGTTCGGGTCTGTTGCAATTGAAAGGTTAATTGCCAGATGATCTGCACCCAGGTCTGGGACCAGTTCCACACTGTGTACTCTGTTGAATATGTTTTTAGTACAGAAGACTAAGTCAGGAGTGGTGTCTTTGTTGAGCGGCATGATGAAGATCGGGTCTGTGTAGATTCGTGTGAATTTTCCGCTGGAGAGAAAGTCCTGGATTTGACTATTCTTCTGCTTATCTGGGTCTCCTATGATCAGGGCGAATTCGCAACGTGTTGCCATGATAAACAGTGAGTTCTCGAGTTTCGTAGTGTGATGTGAGTATATCGCAAAGATGTGAAGCGGTTCCTCTCTGAATGCTATTGAGAAATGGAGTATTTCATTCAGGGATTGAGTGATGGCAGGTGCATTTTGTTTTTTTGGATGTAGATGTGGGTTTATTTGAACTAGCGTTCCACCCCTAGTTTTTCCGTTGATGGAGTTGCCTATTTTGCCCATGGAGAACCAATCTCTGTACTTGATGTTGGTGTTCACGTTGATTTTGGTTTCGACGAACAGGCTACAATCGATATTGTTGCACTCAATGTAGTTATTAATGAGGATTTTTTTGTTCGTGTAACTGTTTATGTTGGAGTACAGGAAATTAATGTCCGCCATTTTCAATTAAAATACTTCTGCCTGTGGAGGGTTCGGTGGGAGAGGGATCCTCGGGGGCGTCCAGGTTGAACATCAGGATATATATTTTGTTGCCAGTGAACACTGCAGCTGTGTCGATCCTGAATGTGTCGATGAAACGCTTCTTGAGCTTACTAATGAGTTCTTCTCTGTTGGTGTTTTTGGGGTTGTTGATTTTAGAGATATAGGTATTGATGATAAAATCGTGGGTGGTGATGGGAGCATGGATGGAGTTATTTTTGGTGATGATTTTATCCAGTTCTCTGGATTTCTTGTTGATTGATTTGATCGGAGCATTTGGGGAACCTGCGATTGGGCTTTTTGGTGTGTTGGGGCATTTGTATGACCATGCAGTGTGCTCTGTGGAGTTGCATGCGTTGCATTTGATGGCCAAATCACTTTTGCAGGAGTTCGTGGATTGCTCGCCTTGACATTTCTGACATGTCAGTTGTTGAGACAGTTCGCGGTGGTGTGCGAGAACTGAGCACATTTGCTGCTTGGGGAGGGAGCGGGGGGAGGGGGAGAGCTAGGATAGACTGGGTAGTGTTTGTTGAAAAGGAAGACACCTTGATTCATCAGCTTGTGGAAGGACTTGTCACCTCCAGTGATAACTCGAATGAGGGTAGTGGGTTTGTTAGTAGCTCGTGCTGTGATTCGTTTGCAGTATCGGTGCTCGATATTATTGTCAACAAGGTATTGTTTCATTGTATCATCTTCGATTTCATATTCTACTGTGGCAATCACAACCGCGAAGGTAGCGGGGGGAGTGGGATTAGCCTGGAATGTGTTTCGATGAGACTCTTTGTATTCATTTATTTTACCTTTGTTTTGAAGATCATTCAGCGTGTTGAGAAGCTCAATTTTGCTTGTATTGGATTTCAAAAGGAATCCTTGGCTCGTCTGTATGATAACATCATTGTTGTTGTTACGTACCGAGTTCCAGAGCCTTGTGATTTCAATTCGGCTGGTAATATTGGATTTGATGTAGAATAGATTGTCGAAAGGCTTATGGATGATTTCTTGGAATCTTTTAGAGGAGTTGGAGGGATTCTTGATGTGTGGAATGTTGTTGGATGTGGAAGGTGAAATGTTTGTGGAAAGTGGAGTGGAAGGGTTGTAGTTGATTGTGTTGGTGAGGCGTGCGGCGAGAGGAGCAGTGTCGGAATCGAAATCCATGGCTCGATCGTTGATTGAATTGCTGTTGCTCTGATTGTCTCCTTCTTTATTATCCTTTCCTTTCTTTTTTGGTGGTCTGGAGGCGCCAGGGACATCTTCGGTACTTCCACCGCTATCGTTTCCAGGCCTTTTGGCCCCTTTCTTTCTACCCATACTGANCTCGGGGGCGTCCAGGTTGAACATCAGGATATATATTTTGTTGCCAGTGAACACTGCAGCTGTGTCGATCCTGAATGTGTCGATGAAACGCTTCTTGAGCTTACTAATGAGTTCTTCTCTGTTGGTGTTTTTGGGGTTGTTGATTTTAGAGATATAGGTATTGATGATAAAATCGTGGGTGGTGATGGGAGCATGGATGGAGTTATTTTTGGTGATGATTTTATCCAGTTCTCTGGATTTCTTGTTGATTGATTTGATCGGAGCATTTGGGGAACCTGCGATTGGGCTTTTTGGTGTGTTGGGGCATTTGTATGACCATGCAGTGTGCTCTGTGGAGTTGCATGCGTTGCATTTGATGGCCAAATCACTTTTGCAGGAGTTCGTGGATTGCTCGCCTTGACATTTCTGACATGTCAGTTGTTGAGACAGTTCGCGGTGGTGTGCGAGAACTGAGCACATTTGCTGCTTGGGGAGGGAGCGGGGGGAGGGGGAGAGCTAGGATAGACTGGGTAGTGTTTGTTGAAAAGGAAGACACCTTGATTCATCAGCTTGTGGAAGGACTTGTCACCTCCAGTGATAACTCGAATGAGGGTAGTGGGTTTGTTAGTAGCTCGTGCTGTGATTCGTTTGCAGTATCGGTGCTCGATATTATTGTCAACAAGGTATTGTTTCATTGTATCATCTTCGATTTCATATTCTACTGTGGCAATCACAACCGCGAAGGTAGCGGGGGGAGTGGGATTAGCCTGGAATGTGTTTCGATGAGACTCTTTGTATTCATTTATTTTACCTTTGTTTTGAAGATCATTCAGCGTGTTGAGAAGCTCAATTTTGCTTGTATTGGATTTCAAAAGGAATCCTTGGCTCGTCTGTATGATAACATCATTGTTGTTGTTACGTACCGAGTTCCAGAGCCTTGTGATTTCAATTCGGCTGGTAATATTGGATTTGATGTAGAATAGATTGTCGAAAGGCTTATGGATGATTTCTTGGAATCTTTTAGAGGAGTTGGAGGGATTCTTGATGTGTGGAATGTTGTTGGATGTGGAAGGTGAAATGTTTGTGGAAAGTGGAGTGGAAGGGTTGTAGTTGATTGTGTTGGTGAGGCGTGCGGCGAGAGGAGCAGTGTCGGAATCGAAATCCATGGCTCGATCGTTGATTGAATTGCTGTTGCTCTGATTGTCTCCTTCTTTATTATCCTTTCCTTTCTTTTTTGGTGGTCTGGAGGCGCCAGGGACATCTTCGGTACTTCCACCGCTATCGTTTCCAGGCCTTTTGGCCCCTTTCTTTCTACCCATACTGATACACTTAAGACTTACTTTATACTTGTGTCGGTATATTCACGCGAGCACAGTAGAGAGCTGTTGACGGTTCAATGTCTCGAGTGAGACTGATGTCGCCACAAATATTTTTTCGGCCATGTGACGAAAATAACTATTTCACAGGGGGGTCTTTGCAGCTGCTCTTCGCTTTTTTTATCATTGACTTTTCAATAAAGCGTCGGAGAGAAAAAATTTATTACAGTTATTGTCTCCAAATAAACCTCTCGAACTCCCCTCACGAGCATGATATTTGATTTTAAGACATCCCGTCTATACGAAAACGAAAGTAACTTACCGGGTTTTCTCTATTTATTTTAGCTATCAGGTCTGGATAACCACTGTCATGCAATATATTACATAGTAGGTTATCAGCAATCAATGTTTTCAATACTTGGGCTAGTTGTTCATCTGAAATGTTTTTGGATCGTGGTATCTTAACCTTTTTCTTGGCTTGCTTTGAACCATTTTTCGTTGTGGACTTCCTGGCAACAGATCTTCCTTTTTGAATGGTCAATAGTCTTTTGTCAGCTAGTGGATCATTGGGATGATGAGTAATGAGACAAGAAATTTCAACACGAGGATGTTCTTTCATTCCTAGATTAGGTGTAATGGTCAATGTCGAAAGAGAAATCTTATATTTCTCATATCTGAAAACAAAAGTCATTATGGCCGGTGTACTGGACTTAGGACTCCAGTACACTGCAATCTTCGCACAAGATACCACAGGGACTGTAGGGGAATAAAATTCCGAGAATTAAATATCCCCCACGTTACTTGCGTTCACAGGGGATTTTTTTAAATTCAATATTCTTGATATAAGTTACTAGACAATTTCCATTTTTCATGATCATTTGAGTATGATTCGTGATGTGAAACACGAATGTTTGATTAGAAGGTATTGTTTTTAAAATAATAATTTTGAAATTCGGAATGAGTTAGTTTGTTAATAGAGGGCTGCGAGGCAAAATTGAGACGTCCATTGCAATTTTGGTTTTCATAAAAATTGAGTGGAATTTTGTTTTCTTTTGTAGATCTATCCATCTAAAAAATGGACGTAAAATACATAGAGCAATACGTGTAAAAAATATATATTTTTCCGTTTTATGACCATGTTTAGTTTTTTTATCAACTGTAACGAGCCCATTCGTTTTGAAATTTAATTGATGTGCAATTGATATTCTAGAATTTCCAGTAATTTCTGCGATATCTTAATTCCATTGCCCCTCAATTCTAGCCCCTTTGTGGAGTATCTTGCATGGAGAATATTAAACGAAAAACATTCAAACCAAAAAGTGTGGGTATCACTCTGCACGGATTCAGGCCTAGTATCTTGTATAAAGACTGCATTGTATATTCTTTAATTATGGGTTGGAACGTACACTTCAATGGATAAAACTTTCAGCGTTTTTGGTTGGAAAGTCACCGTTTTTGGGGAAGATGGAGTACTTCCGATCGAGCTCTGTTCCTGCTGGCCGTCTGGATCAATTGACTCACTATCACTTGTGCTCCTCGACGGTGTCATGATGGGTACCCTATAGAAAGTTTACTTATTGAAATTTTAATTTATCCAACCCATAAGGTAAATGTACCTATGTCCGTCTCTGCGGATGCTGCCAGATATCACATTGTTTTTACCATTTTGACAGTCCCAACAATCTATTAAGATTGAAATACTATTGGAGTTATTTCAGTTAATAAAAAAAAGTTATAGATGGCAATGAATTGTGATTTATTGAATAATAAGGGAGAAAAATTCCATTCGCATCAATTACTGCAATAACAGTGAATTCTTAAATCGCAAATTAACTCACAATTTTTAAATATTGAGATCTCTGTTATAATGGTAAAGTAGAATTAAGAACCCCTTCATTGTTTCAAATAGTTAAAAATTCAATAAAAATACATAAAATGATATCCTGATATTTCAGTAGAATAACGACAATTAAAAGAATAGGTACTATGAAAATGACATTAATCCTATACTTGTTTCGTAGCCAATTGTCAATTGAATGGACTAAACAGATGAAAAAAGAATTTAAAAGGTTGGACTGGTAAATACAAATAGAATTTTGTGCCTCAAGATATTTTTGAATGTTGGTTTATCACACAATAGGATACCCACGATGATGCTCTCCCTCGAACGTGTAGTATAGGGATAAATGAGCGAGCGTACGACTATGGGACTGTTCACATTTATGGACAATTATTACTGAATAATCAGTAATAATTATCAGTAGTTTTTTCTACTGAGAAAATAGTAAATATCATGATTAATATAAGTCAATTCAAATTTTGAAGGTTTTATCGGTTGGTATATAATTTAATAATGGAATAATGATGTGTTCACCTTAGCTAGACGAGCGTAGGATTATTTATCATATTGTAATAATCTATTGAAAATTCTCACATTTCAGAGGGTTTCGGATCAGCAAGCAATTTCAAGTTCAGGCATCTCTTCAAATATGCTTCATTCACGAATCTACGCCATTCGTTATTGTGATAACCTTTACCAGCGATCACTATCTTCCTGTGTTTGTAGGTTCTAATTTCCTCATCGAGAGCGTCAATTGTCGCGATGCCACCGTTCTTCTATATTATTAAAATATACCAAAAAAACATTAATTAGAGTGAAGGTCAAATGCATAATCTACATATAGATTCAGATATTCATAGCTGAATTAATTGTTAAAACAATTTTGAGCTTTCGGCAATTTGCATAGACTAAGAGTCATAATTTTTATGGCTATCATCCTATTATTGATTGCCATTCTGATATCTAAATAAATACTATCTAGGGGAAAGTGAGATAAATCAGAACACCGATATAGAACAGGTATCATCATTAATTATTTGTGTTTTTGCCATGGTTCTTTAGTCAGCATCAAAGCGTAACCAAAAAACCACGCGTAAAGTGGTGGACACAAGTCGACAAGTGTTCTTTTTTATGACTGGGTCATCTTTGTCAATTCCCGATCTTCATGGACTTCTGACCATTGATTTTGACCCCTATTTTTTTTACCTTGGCGAAGCTTAGTTTCGATTTTCATTTTTGAGCCGCGATATTTCAGTTCTGACATTGAAGATCCTTTGTTTTAAGGCTTATTTCTGTTTGTTAGTCTTCACCTTTGTCACCCTTAGTTCTAATCCTTATTTGGTCACATACATACGAATGCATCTACATGCATACGTACATACGGACATAATGTAAAATATATTCTGATTCCTGATAATAAAATGAGTTATTTTAAGAAAGACAATGGAAACTTGAAATTTAATGTGACAAAGCTTCTATTTTTTAAAATATATGATTTTTTGTGAACTTGCCTCGATTTCCTCGTTTAGCGAATTTACTATCGCTCCTTCCAATCCCAGTAGGAACACGTTGATTGGTTTCCCGCTTTCGTAGATAAACAAATTTGTCGTTGGCTCTGCCGTATTTTGTTGTTGGCTTCCGATGTTAACACTCGAATCCGTTCTAAATTAAGCCAATTTACTGTATTACTGTAAATTACTGAATTTACTGTATTACTGTTTAACTGTATTTTGTAATTCCTTGATCAATTGAGCTTGCTCTTCAATTAATTGTAACCTCTCTGATAACTGTTGGTTAAGCTGTCTCGCTTCTTCCATCGGACTTGTAGGGGGTACTGCATCCTCAAGATTATCCATCTTTATTAATTTGAATTTGTACGATTTCTTCAACCAAATAAAGAAAAACTATGAAGAATCTATTCGATCTAAAAGTTATTTTACTGAATTGAATCGTTGGCTAGTATTTGAAAATGGAAAAAAAAGGATGGGCAAACAAAACAACAAAAGAAAACAAAAACTTGAACGTTCGAGGCCAATCAGAACACTTGGATTGATCGAGTCTTGATTATTTAGGACCATAATGAGTCAAAAACCGGAAACATCGGGTGGAAAAAGGAAGACAACCCCACACTTAGCACCATTTTTGTTACGTATTCCCGATTGATTTGAGATAAAATGAAATAAAATAGTAAAATTTATTTTATTGATTAAAATTTGAACAGACAACAGAAGTTGGGCAGCCAAAATTTTAAGAAATAATCGTCGAGCGGTAGCCGATTACCCTTTGACTTACCGTAACTAGGTTGAAAAGCCATCCCTCATTCGTGTTCTTTATTGATCCGGGAATAAATGTCTCTCATTTTGGAGTATCAAATGATCTCCGGGACAAGAGAAATAAACTGTTGTCTTCATTTTACTCACTTCTGCTCGTCAATGACTCTGGATCGTTGTTTCAAAAGGTCTCGATCTGTGAAGGCCTGATTTGAAGGTACCAGGATTCGTTCGTTGAGTGGTAGGGGTCCGACGGGCGGCAGCGGCTCGCTTCCAACAGCAGGCCACAATCGAACAAACGCTCACTGGATAGCTGGTTTCAGTTTATTTAGATAAATTTCCACTTTTCAGTTTGTAATTATTTTTGTTACCACTGGGAATAGCTTTGGATATTTTGAAAACTAGAAAGATCAAATAATATTTTCTTTATTTTAGGTTTTGTGGTTTAGTTCCCGAGCGTCGGATGCCCGTCACTGGTTAGGATCACTGGAATATTTGAATTTTAAACTTAAGTTTTGCGGAAAATAAAATATGAATTGTATTGCGAGAATTCTCATGGGGGTCACTGAAAACACCGAACCAATGTTCAAAGCATTTTCAGATCGTCTCGGTAAAATCCTCAGAATGAATCTACTGGTAAAAAGTATGAACTGTATTGCGAGGATTCTCGTGGGGGTCAATAAAAACACCGAACTAATGTTCAAAGCATTTTCAGATCGTCTCGGTAAAATCCTCAGAATTTATTTATTAGGGTATTAATTTATTTATCAGGATATTGATTTTTTTTTTATTTCAAATTTTTATTTGATTTTTAAGCCGAGTTTCCTAGTCAGTTCAGGCACCGCCGTGTATTCAACGGATTATCGGATTAGATTTGTTTATTAAAGTGTAGTGGACTTGATGAAACTCTTGAATAAATTTTAATAATTATTTGGTGAATGAGAAGTTCGAAATTAGATGTTGAAGTGGCAAAAAAGATTCTAAGTTTGGATTGAGAAATAATTCTAAGTCCAGAGGAGACAAATCAAGGTAAATAATTGTAAGTCCCAAGGGGGAATCAAGAAATAATTCTAAGTCCAAAGGAGACAAATCAAGGTAAATAATTCTAAGTCCAAAGGGGACAAATCAAGAATAAATCCAGAAGGGATATTACAAAAATTCTCTAAGTCCCAAGAGGGCGTGCTGAGAATTTCACTAAGTCCACAAACTCGCGAATTTTCTAAGTCCGAAAAACACTTTACCGAATTTATTTCACTTCGCGGAGCTCCTTTTGAGCTATGACCGGCTACTTCGAGCGCTGGAACTGAACTGACTATAGGCTGTCGCGTCTCGAGGTACCTCGACTCGCTCTTTACGGCGCGTCAACGTTGCGTCGAGCCGCCGAAGTGGCACAGTGGTGGGAGTAGTGGGGATGCCGCGTGAAGCGGTGAGACTTGCTACCTGAAGGTGGGGGTCGAGCGTCAAGCGTACCCCTATGTAATGTGTGTAGAGTACTCCCAACACTGTGGCACCCTACTAGGCCTTTATACATTGAATANCTAAGTCCGAAAAACACTTTACCGAATTTATTTCACTTCGCGGAGCTCCTTTTGAGCTATGACCGGCTACTTCGAGCGCTGGAACTGAACTGACTATAGGCTGTCGCGTCTCGAGGTACCTCGACTCGCTCTTTACGGCGCGTCAACGTTGCGTCGAGCCGCCGAAGTGGCACAGTGGTGGGAG